TTCTCTTCTTCTTTTTTTGGTAGTACTGAAAGGGTTGAACCCAGGCCCTCTTGCATGCTAGGCAAAACCTTTAACAATGAGCTATACATTCAGTCCCTGCCTTGCGTTATTAATGTAGAAAGAATTCCCCACATAAATAAACAGAAGTGTTGAAAGGGCTGGAAGTCAGGAGGGATGTTCTGCACCTATAGAACTGGATACCCAAGTAGCTGTGGTGGGAGAGTCCTTTGAATATAGAAGATCAAGACCACCAACAGAATGCGGCCCCTACTACAAAACAAAAACACAAGAAGCAAAAAGTAAAGGGTCTGGGTATGGAGTTCAGTGGTAAAGTGTATGTTTTGTGTAGATAAGGCTCTGGGTTCAGTTTCCAGAAATGTGAAAAACAAAACAAAAAAAGGGCCAGGCCTGGAGACACAGGTCTATAATCCCAGTAGTCTGTGAGGCATAGGTAAGAGAACCACAAGTTCAAGCCCAGGATAAGAAATATGGACTCAGTGGGACCCTGTCTCAAAATACATATTTAAAAGTGTGAGAGGGACACCTTGGAATATAGCTCAGTGGTAGAGCATGCCTGGGTCAACACCCAATATTGCAAATAGATCAATAAATACAGTTTTTAAAAAGATTGAGCGTGAGCCAAGTGGCCTGTGAGCTCAAGAGACTGAAGCAGGGGGATCACCACAAATTCAGGGCCAGTCTGGGATACATAATGAATTCAAAGCCAGCCTGAATAGCATAGTGAGACTCTGTCTTTAAAAAAGGGGGCTCTCTGCTCCTGTGCACTCCTGTGCGCTCCTGTGCGTCCGCGGATAGCAGATCTTCCCGAACAGCCAGCAGTGATCCAGACAAGATGGTGAAGGTCGGAGTGAACGGATTTGGCCGTATTGGACGCCTGGTCACCAGGGCTGCTATTCTCTCTGGCAAGGTCGAGGTTGTGGCCATCAATGACCCTTTTATTGACCTCAACTACATGGTCTGCATGTTCCAGTACGATTCCACCCATGGCAGGTTCAATGGCACTGTCAAGGCTGAGAACGGGAAGCTCTCCATCAGCGGAAAGACTATCACCATCTTCCAAGAGCGAGATCCCGCCAACATCAAGTGGGGTGATGCTGGCGCTGAGCATGTAGTGGAGTCCACTGGTGTCTTCACTACCATGGAGAAGGCTGGGGCTCACCTGAAGGGTGGTGCTAAAAGGGTCATCATCTCTGCCCCTTCCGCCGATGCCCCCATGTTTGTGATGGGTGTGAATCACGAAAAGTACAACAACTCCCTCAAGATCATCAGCAATGCTTCCTGTACCACCAACTGTTTAGCCCCACTGGCAAAGGTCATCCATGACAACTTCGGCATTGTGGAGGGACTCATGACCACAGTGCACGCCATCACTGCCACCCAGAATACTGTGGACGGCCCCTCTGGGAAGCTGTGGCGTGATGGCCGTGGGGCTGCCCAGAACATCATCCCTGCATCCACTGGTGCTGCCAAGGCTGTGGGCAAGGTCATCCCAGAGCTGAACAGGAAGCTCACAGGCATGGCCTTCCGTGTGCCCACTCCCAATGTGTTGGTGGTGGATCTGACCTGTCGCCTGGAGAAAGCGGCTAAATACGATGACATCAAGAAGGTGGTGAAGCAGGCCTCAGATGGTCCCCTCAAAGGCATCCTGGGCTACACTGAGGACCAGGTTGTGTCTTGCGACTTCAACAGTGACAGCCACTCTTCCACCTTTGATGCTGGGGCTGGCATTGCCCTGAATGATCACTTTGTGAAGCTCATTTCCTGGTATGACAATGAGTTCGGCTACAGCAACAGGGTGGTTGACCTCATGGTCCACATGGCCTCCAAGGAGTAAGTGGCCCCCACCACCACAGCCCAGTGAGACCAGAGGGATGGAGAGGCCACGCTGTAGAAGTCGTCACTGCCCTACTCAGCCCCGATACTGAGAATCTCCCCCTCACAGCTTCCATCCTAGGCCCCCTAGAAGGGGAAAGGCCTTGGGATCCCTGGCTCGCTGCCCTTGCACACCATCAATAAAGCCCATTGTACCCCCCCAAAAAAATAAATAAATAAATAAATAAAAATAAAAATAAAATAAAAAAGGGGAGGGGCAGGGAGATAGTTCAGCAGCAAAGCACCTGCCTGGCAAGCGCAAGGTTCTGAGTTATATTCCTAGTACCAAAGACAAAAGAAAAGAAAAGAAATAAACAAAAAACCTGGACATATAACTCAGTGGTAGAATGCTTGCCTAGAAATATGGGATAAGGCTATGGATTCAATTCATAGGGCCAAAAAGAAGGAAGGGAAAAAACAGAAAGAAAGAGAAAAAGAAGAAAGGTAGAAGGCAGGAAGGGAAAGAAGAGAAGAAAGGAGGAAGGAGATAAAGAAGTTAGAAAAAGAAGAAAAAAAGTAAATCACAAGGACAATTCTTACACACAAAACAACTTTTGCAGGAAATAAACAGAAATGATCAATAAAACCAAAAGGAATAAGCCTCCTTGTGCTGGTACCTGGCTGTGTTCTCAGTTACTAGGAGGCTAAAGATGGCCTTAGGCCAGGAGTTCAGGTCAGCCGGGACAACACAGTAAGATCCTGGATCCTTTTGTTGTTATTGTTATTTGACAGAGTCTCACTCCTACTGGAGCTACAGAAAACATCTGGGTCCAAGAGGAGTAGAACCACACCCACCCCTGGCACATCAAGGACACAGAGAATCCAGGCACACACGGGCTACTGCCACCAATTCAACTTTATTTAGAAATACAGAGGTGTAGGACAGGGAGGGAAGGAAGGAAGGAAGGTGTGGCCTGAGGTAGGGCAGGGTGACTTCTGCTTATCGATATTTGGAGGTCAGCACGGTGCCAACAGCAGACATGAACTTGTCCATGGTGGCATGAACCTCAGGAGTGAAGTCTGATGGGTACTTGCTGGCCATGGTTACAAGCATGGAGTGGCTCAGGAACTGTGGTAAATGGGTGAGTCTTTGAGGACCATAGGCCCTGGAGCCACCTGCTCCACTTTCTGGAATCTGCCCTGTATCTGTTGCTTGTTAGCAAGGTCTGCTGTGCCCTCACCACCCCACATCCCTTGGCTGTGATACTCACCTTGAAGTTCACTGGGTCCACACGCAGCTTGTGGGCATGTAGGTCACTCAGGTCAGACAGAGCAGTAGGCATGTCATCTACATTCTCCACAGCCTTGTTCAAGGCATTGGCCACTTTCTTGCCATGGGCCTGGATCTGAGGAGATCCTGGTGCAATGGCAAAGCTGGGGAAGTAAGTCTTGGTGCTGGGAAAACTGACAAACATCCTACATTGGAAAGAAGTGGGTAAATGGGGTTGGGTAAGAGAATTGGGTGAGAATCATGGTGTCCAGCCCGAGAGCAACTCTGACACCTGGTTCCTATCAGAGCAAAGAGGAGAGTCCTCACCTGTACACTGCATCCGGGCTATGCTGGGCGAAATTAGGGCCAATTTTCTTCCAGGCAAACCTGAGAGTGGACTTGTCCGCATCAGAAAGTGACATGCTGAGCCTTGCTGAGTCTATGACAGAAGCAGAAGCCTCTCAACAAGCAGAGCATTGAATTTTTATACTGAGGCTAGAAGGGACACACTAATCTCTGCCACACTCATTGGCTGAAATGCACCTAGTGTCTACCTAACTGGGTGGCATCAATGGGGCTGGAACCAAGGGCTGGGCTGCAACTCATCAGAAGAACCTTGCAGCCCAGGCCCTGGATTCTTCTCCTCCTACCCTCTCCCCCTCACACCTCCCGAAAACCAGCCAACACCTTGTCAGCTCTTACTAGTTCTTGGTCTCTTGTCCTCCCACAGCTCCAGGGCATCTCTCCAAGCCCTAAGTGTCCCTGCTTCAGGTATAGACCTTTTATAGTTTGTGTCTCATCGTCCCCCCAAAGCCTCATGTAAGTCATGGAGCAGACCTGGCTTGAGTAGTAGCATGTGGTTTGAGGGGCAGGGCCAGAGGACCAGCGCGGAGCTCCATGGGCAGGGGCCAGAGAGAAGCAAACCATTAAACTGGAAGCATGAGTTCTGCCCACGCTTGACAGGCCAGTGGTCTCTCTGAGGTGTCGAGAGGGTCATCCTGGACAGAGAGGTGCCCCAGCCTCTCCTCCAGACCCTGCAGAGCAGGATGGCAGTTTCTGTGATAGAGGCCACCTCTGGCAGAGAGGAGATGTTTGGAAAAGACAGAAGCACTGACCTTCTCTCCTGAGCAAATAAGGCTCTGAGGACTTGCTATGTAATTCAGGCTGTTTTATAAACTGTGAAACCTCCAGTAGCTGTGAGTTAAATAAACCTTTCCTTCCCTCATTTTGAGTGTTGGGTATTTATTCCAGCAATGAGAGAAGAGTAACTAAGACGATTTATGAGACTGGAAGGATCCACGTGACCTAGGCCTATCCCCCAACTGGCTGTGAGTTTACTGGGCAGAATCCATAAACTGTCCAGTGTGTGTGGAAGGAGAAATGCCACCCATTTGGGACAGAGAGGTGTACCTCTAAGGACAACCTTCCCAGAAGTCTTCCCTTGTCCTTCAGCCATTGTTGTTCCAGCTCCTTTCCTTCCCCAAAGTGCTATGTGTGACTGAGTGACAGGCACAGGGAAGAAAGAAATGCCCAGGCAGGCCCAAGTTGTCCAGGCAGGGCTTGGAGGCTTCAGACCCAAGCTCCACTACCTAGAGCAGAGGTGATTACTGGTAAGTTTTTTTTTTTTTTTCAGATGCACAGAGCAGCAGAGAAACAGAAAGAAGAAAGAAGGGAAAGGAGCTTTATTATCTTGTAGGACTCTGAGAGAATTTAGGGAAGATAAGAAATTCTCTGGACTGGAACAAAGGGAGACTGAAGCTTTTATGGCCTTTTTCCAGGGGTAGAGTTTGAAGATGTTTAAATATACCTGAGGGAGCTGGGACTGGGGTCTTCCCTGAGGTGGTGGGAAGGGTGAAAGGAAATTGTACCTTGGGCTGAGTTGGAGAAGAAGTGGGGAGGTAGTCTTGGGGAAGATGGGCTTTTGCTTTAAGGGCTTCAGCCATATTAGATGAACACCATGATGATTCAACAATTCATTCTAGGGCCAGAACCTATCAGTTACACCCCAGCTTGGACTCACAGTGGAGCCTCTCCTTTCCCCAGTCTCTAGCTGTTGAGTGAGTGACTGTCTCTTTGTCCTACTGGCCCATTTACTCACCTTTTGTGTGAGTAAATGTGTATCTGTCCCACTGGCTCATTTTCCTGGTTCATGAAGACAAGCCCCAGTCCACGGTGTGTCTGTTGGAACACTCACTAGTTAAATTTTGGTTAAGCTGATAAAAAAGCAAGTCTCAAAATAAAACTTTTTTTTTTTTTTTTTTTTTTGTGGTACCAGGGATTGAACTCAGGACCCTGCGCTTGCCAGGCAAGCACTTATTCAACTGAGCTATCTCCCTGGCCCTTCAAAATAAAACTTTAAAAAAAGGAAGTTAATGAGTAAGAAGCATGTCTCCACAGGCACAGAGGCGGACCTTACACTGTAAGGGCAATTTTATTTTATTTTATTTATTTATTTATTTTTTTTGGCAGAACTGAGGATTGAACTCAGGCCCTTGCACTTGCCAGGGAAGCGCTTATTCCACTGAGCCATCTCCCTGGCCCCTGTAAGGGCAATTTTAAACTTTAGTTAGCCACTAGATTCAAGGATAGGCCAAAAAAGCAACTTGTTCTTATAATTAGAGAATAACAAAACTCAACTAGCCTTGGCATTCCAGGGCCACCTGCAACTTTTAAGAGCCAAACAGTGTCTCTCATTATGTTATCTTGTTTCAAGGATTTATCACTTAAGATATGGCCCAGTCTATGACAATGATTGCTTCTTCCTGCTCAACCTAGCCCTTGACTTGTCTGCTATATAATGAGACTCCCAATTAACTTGCTCAAAGTATAACTACCTGACTGTGTATGACCAAATGTATGTAAGCAATTATAGAATATCTTGACCTTGTATCAAAAAAATAAAAATAGGGGCTGGTGAGATGGCTCAGTGGTCTAAAGCACCTACTTAGAACAAGCTTAGCAAAGCATAGGGACCGCGGTTCAATCCCCCAGCACCACATGCCAGCCAGCCCCGCCCCCTGGTGGGCTGAGCTGGCCACACACACACACACACACACACACACAAATAAATGTTAAAAAAAAGATAATTAACTTAAAAATTTTTTAAAAATAAAAATAAAAATAAATAAAAATTTAAATTAGATTATCCTGTTGTCTGCCTTTTGTACTTCCTTCTAACAACCTGTAGAAGTGACTATAAAACTCCACAATGGGGCTGATGATTTGGAACTCAATTCCATCAGCTCGCTAGTGTAATAAAGCTGTATGCCTTCCAAAATTCCTTGATGCTGCGTCTTCCATCTGGTCTGTTTCCACTTCTGAAACAACACTACCACACAAGTCCACATCAAGTTGCAAAACTCAGCAAAGCCCTGAGAAGCCTGGAGAAAGTGGATGAGGAGACCTGGTTAGTTAGTCTGAGATAGCGGGGGCTTTCTGGGGGAGGTGAGGGTGAAGGATAAGCATTAGCACTCAAAGGCAGAGGCTGCCCGGTTACTGAAGAGAAAGTTTTTTTTTTTTTTTTAATTTTTATTTATTTGTGTGTGTGTGTGTGTGGCCAGCTCAGCCCACCAGTGGGCAGGGCTGGCTGGCATGCGGTGCTGGGGGATTGAACCGCAGTCCCTGTGCTTTGCTAAGCTTGTTCTAAGTAGGTGCTTTAGACCACTGAGCCATCTCACCAGCCCCTGAAGAGAAAGTCTTGAAGCAGTGAGAAGGGCAGGAGTGCCAGTTGGTGCTGATCCCATCCTCTTGCTGGTGATTAGTGATGCTGTTGGGCGAGGCTCCTTACTGAGACTTTCTTGGGACCTGCAGAAGTCCCCTGCTTTGAGGTCGGTGGGTGGCATCCTTCAGCCCAGGCCTCCCGAGCATGCACACTGGGAACGTGTGCTGAGCATCTGGGAGGCAGCAAGGATCATACTGCCTTGGGCAGAGAAGGCGGTAGCTTAGACTAGAGGTAGCAGTGCTCTGTGCTTCCTCTTCTCGTTGTCTGCTCCTTATGCTGTGACATTCTGGTTCTGCTCACAGCCATAGTCTTAATCCTGCTTCATAAAGACAGGATAAAAGGCTGGGGCTTAGAAGACTGCAGATACCTGCTTCAGGTCTGAGATTTCACCTCTCTCTGAAACTTGCTCCAGTATCTCCAGTGCTCCGGTGTCAGTGTGTCTGGCTGACTTGAAACTTTATTTATTTATTTATTTATTTATTTATTTATTTATGTGTGTGTGTGGCCAGCTCAACCCACCAGGGGGCGGGGCTGGCTGGCTTGTGGTGCTGGGGGATTGAACCGTGGTCCCTATGCTTTGCTGAGCTTGTTCTAAGTAGGTGCTTTAGACCACTAAGCCATCTCACCAGCCCTGACTTGAAATTTATTTCAGTGTATTTTGTTGTGTTTGATGTCTTTCCTCATGAGCCTGTTCTCCCTCTCCCATTCCTTGGTAGCTCTTTTTGTGTGTGTTGTACTGAGGATTGACCTCAGGTAGCTTTGGTGATGGGTGAGTGACAAGGGAAGGAGAAAACAAAGGGGAGGAGGGAGAACGCTTAGAGAATGTGGACATGCTGTGGAAAAGGTAATGCACAGTCCTGCTGCTGGATGTCAGCTGAAGTTGAAGATACCCCAGATTCAAGCACACCCTCTGCCCATGGGTGGTACCACATCATAGGAGGGCAGACATTTGAGTAGGCATTTGGGAGGTCTGGTTGGCTCCCTGAAGGATCTGAAGCATCTCTGCCCAGGAACATTGATGTCACCTTGCTCTTCTCCTAAAAATGGCACACAAATTGGAGGAGCCCTTGTCTTATTGATAGAGCAGGGCCTAAGGGATGAGTGGCTTCCTGGTGGTCATCACCAAGCCTACACCGGTGAGGAACTGGATCCACAACCCAGGGATCTCCATTGTGAATTCTTTCTGCAGGTGAAGAGCCAGCCCTACCAGGCAATGCTGTATTAGAAGTTTTAGACAGGGCAGGTGAAAGGGGTCTCCTCTTGTCTACCCTCTCCTGAAGGCCTACATTTTCATGAGACCTACCCTAGAGGCAAAGACTGCCCCTACCTGCTGGTCTATCAGGCCCACCATCACCAGCACCTGCTGTCCCTACTTCACCAGTTTCATCTGGTACTGGCAGGGGCTGGGTAGGAGGTGAAGAGCCTGCAGGTGGTATTGGGGTCACCTGAGTCCTGCCAGCTGGGCACCTGTTAGAGGAAGCTGAACATTGGTTGGCCCTTGGTGAGTCCTGTGCCCAAGGTCTTGCCCCCATCTCCCAAAGATCCTGACTCACTCATCTGAGCTGCAGCTCTCTCTAGAAGTGTGCCATGTGGCTGAATATCAGGTTCCAAACCTTCACGACATGGGTATGATCCTGGTGCAGAGTGGGGGTGGGGTGGGGGTTAGGGGGTGTAGGCATGATGTGATTTGAGGGCTACACCTGCCCTTTAGGC